CTTTCCGAGGAGCCTGACAGCCTTAAATCCCTGGCTGTGAGTCCGTTCTGGCACCCCTGCCTGTCAACCCCACCGATGCATATTTTATGTACAGGCTGGAAAACATGAAAAATACCTTGGCTTTCAAGCTACAGCCAGAAATAAAACCTCACCTTGGAGCTCTGCTTTCCCTCCGAGCTCCCTGCAAAGGGAAGACTTCAGAGCTGTGGAGCTTTGAGGGGGAAGAAGCTTTCAAAAAAAAAACCTCAAGGGAACGATGCAAATGAGGGAAATGTCTCTGGGAAAATTAGAGGAGCCCAGTGATGTTGTGATGAAAGGTTGTCAGTGGAGATGGTGACAATTGAAGTGCATTACCCAGGGGTGCTGCAGTAATAGAAACAGGTGTTAGAGTCCAACCTGTCTGCAAACCCAAGGGCTTTGGCTGCGTGTCAGCTGCCAGAGGAAATCCAGGGAAAACAGGGCTAATGGCTGCATTGTTCCCAGAGAGCACTCCCTGCTCGCTGCTTTGTTTATTAAAATCAAGGGGAAAACACAGAAAGCTCCAAAATGCCAAAGGAGGCTTCCCCCTGCTGTTGTTTATGAGCTGAGGTGAAGAGCACTTTGTGGATCGACCCAGGGATAATCAGATTTTATGTCAATCTCGAGGAATCCAGATTTATTTCAKTCTCCATTGAAATGGGTGAATGGGAGCGTTTCTGTGGGAGCAGGAAATGTCTGTCACACTCAGTCCCTACCCAAGTGTGGGATCCCCCTGCCCCTGCTTGGGTGCACAGTTTTCCATTTTAAGTTGCCTTAAAAGCACTTTAAAATTCTGTAAGGATGGTTTAATAGTTGAGAGTTCTGTCCTTTCATTATTTGTTATCTCTCTTTCTGTGCTTGGGAGGTTTTGGAACCAGCGTGGGTCTGGTATCCATCAGCATCCAGCAGCTCTCCAGCTCCGGGCCGGTTAAAAAAAAGCAGGGCATGTGTGTTGGATAAAAACWGGAGGTTTTTATTTAGAAAGAGGAGAAGGTGATTTAAGCCTGCAGCTCTTTCTGTGACAGGCTCCAGCAGCCGAGTGCATCACCCTGCAAAGGGAATAAAGTTTGGGGGCAGTGGTGGGAGTGTGCACAGGGCACGGGCACAGCAGGCAGCTCTGAGGAGATGGGAAGGAGGGATTACCCCTCACTGTTGGTTTAATCCCTGAGAGCTGGAATGCCTGCTCGCTGCCATGGATTTGTGTGCTCCAGTGGAGCCTAGTTATGAGAGAAAAATTAAGTTAGTTTTGTTGGGGGTCATCTGGATGCTGCTTCTCAACGTGATGAATTAGAGCCCTTTGTTTCTGGGACTTGACTGGTTGTTACCCTCAGTTTCTTAACACAGTTTATTCATTTGAAGGAATTTTCAACGGAAAGTTATTTTTGGATCATGTTGCCATTGGTGGCTTTATTGAGTTGGCTGGTTTTGAAGTGGTTTGGGTTGTTGGGAGCATTGTCTTGCTATCAGAGGGCAATATTTTTAGAGTTCTTTAGATTAGACAAAGTCAGCTTTGCCAGCCGTGGGCAGGGAGTGGTGCCTGGAGCTCTGGGAGGTTTCAGATCCCTCACTGCTGACATGCACTTGACTCCCTGCCCCGACCCGAGCGTCGGATCCCATTTCAGAAAAATAACGGAATGACTTTGAGCCATTCAGAGCTTTTTGCACGGGAGATGCAGTTTGGGAACAAAGCATTTGCTTTTTGTCAGCTTCTGAAGTACAGGATCTTCTGAAAAACAGATGTGTCAGATCTTCAGGCTCAGCACAGCAGGGTGGAATTCAAAGGCTGTGGGRTGCTTTTATCGTTCAACCTAGAAGGTGAAAACTCATCAACACCGAACCCTCGGCTTGTACAGCATTCATTTATCAGAGAGCAGCCCTGCTTCCAAACCAGGGGCCTTTTGTTCTGGGGCCCTCTGATAGTTTTATGGCTGCTAATGATGCTCAGCAAACTTCAGCTCTCTCCCCTCTTCCCTGTTTCAGGTGGGGAAGCCAAGAGAGAATCTCAGACTCGAGTATCTGGTTTACCTTGGCATTTCATTTGCCCGGACTGAGAGGAGAACTTTTTGCCCTCCAAACTTGAGTGCTTTGATGTGGAAATTTGGTCTGTGTTTGGGACCCTCCAGAACGCATTTGAGGGGTACAGCCAGACAAAAACAAAATTTACTGCAAAACAGAAAAGGATCTCCCAGATTGCTTATTATCTTAACAACTGGGAGCAATTTATTGGTGCTGGATGTCTGACGTGGAGGAGCCCATTAGCAGTSCTCTGGTGCCGTGGCAATAAATCATTGCACAGAACTAATTAGGTGTAATTCTGCAAGTCATTTGAGCGAGGTYCTATTAAAACCTGTGCTCCTTGGAGACCTGTCACGGAGGCACAGCATTCCCTGGGAACAATGGAGGCAGTGCTGTTATCAGGGAGGCCTCGTTCCTCATTCCTCACCGAGTAAATCATGACAAAGTGCCCTGTTGGTCAGAGTTAGGGAAGGCATTTGTTAGTGAGGGGATCTGGAAAATCCAGTGGTGTTTCYCAGCACACAAAAGCAGCGGCACTGTTAAATCATCCCTGTAAGATTTGGGGTGTGCAGGGAGCAGGAGAGAGGAGTGATGTGGAAGAAGGAGCTGAGTTAGCCCCGGAGAAGTTTGCAGAAATGGAAAACACAGAATTTCTGATTGTTCAACACCTCAGTATTGTTTAGTGATTWCTCTTTCATTTGAGACGTGTGGCTGATGGTTAAATACAATGGATGTGTTGGCGGGAAAAGGATGCAGAATATGCAAAGCAAAAAAAAAAAAAAAGCCTGATCCTTGTCATTAATTCCTCCATTTGAGTGAAAATCTCAATAAATGTTCCCAGTAAAACCTGCTGCCTCCTGGTGCGTTTATGCACTGTCACATTTTCTCCAAGAGCAGCTGTGGATTCTCCCTTTTCCATTTTCCCTGGCAGAGTTGTTATCCAGGATCWCTGGAAGTGCCAAAGGAGACACAAAGAAGCTCTGATGTGACAGCACAGTCCCTTCAACACTGGGCTGTGTCCCAATGTCCCAGCCCTTGGTAGCACCCAGAACCTTCCAGTGCCTGTGGAAAGCACACCAGCTTGGAGGGACTGGCCGGCAAAAATTTAATTTAGTTTGATTTTCATTTTTTGAAGAAGCATGTAAAAAGAAGAGCTGAAGGATTTGATGTTCTGTTTTGAAAGTGAGCTCTGATATATTTTTTTAATAGTTTGAGAATTGCCAGGGAGGGGCCACAATGTACTTGTTTTCACTTTGTGAAAGGAGAAAAATCAGCTCTTACAAATCATAGTGTAACCTCTAAACCTTGTCCTGATTTATAAGGACTGCCTTCCTCACCGGGACCTCTGACAACAAAAGGCTTCAGGAGGAATTTCTCCCGTGCGAGCCTTCTGTCGTTATTTTCCTCCTGTTGTATTATAACATCAATTAGAGATTTTTCAGTTTGTAGCTGGAGCTGTTGTAGGCTGTGAGTAGGCACAGGGAGCTCCAGATCGATGAGAAAAATCACTCAGGCAGTGCTCAGCCTGCGGAGCCTCCCAGGAAAGCAGCAGGGAATACAGTGAAAAACCAAATATGTGATGGCTTATTTTGCCCAAATCTGTGTGAAAGAAGTGCTGGAATACTTCTGCACAGATCCACCTGCTGAGGAGGCTCACAGCTGAGAAACAGAGAAATATTTATGGCAGTATTTGGGGTTATTTGGGATTATTTGGGGTTCCTTGGATCCTGAGCTGCTCCATCAGTGGGAGATTTGYTGTTGGCTCTTTGCTGCTGGAGCATGGCAGAGTTCTGTGCAGGTGARGGCATCTCTAAACAGTTATTTGGCTTTCCTAAAGTGCCCAATTCCCTTAATTGGACTTTTAGTCTGGTTTAGTCTCCATCACATCCTTGGAGCAGCCCTTGAAGCACCTCAGGGCTCCAGGCACAAGTAGAGCCACATGCATTCAGTTCTCAGTGAAAGGGAAGTTTGATATGATGGAAATCACAATTTTCATTATGCAAAACCCTGATGAAGCACCCACTGCTGGCTGGGAAATGTATTTTATGTTCTTATGTCAYCTCCTTGCTGCAGCCAATATGAATTACTTGACTTTTGACTTAAGCCACAAAAATAAAAGYACAATGAGCAAAAATAAAAGTACAAAAAGCAATCAGATAACAATTCTCTAACACAGGTTTTACTTGCTTGTCAAGGAATGGGGTAATACAGAGAAACTTTATTATTATTTTTTCTTTTTTTTCAGTTGGCAAAAAAAATCCGTGAGAAATTCAACCGCTACTTGGACGTGGTGAATCGGAACAAGCAGGTGGTGGAAGCGTCGTACACTGCTCACCTCACCTCACCCCTGACTGCCATCCAGGACTGCTGCACCATCCCACCATCCATGATGGAGTGAGTATTCCATTCTGGAATTCCTCACATTCTCGTTTAATCTGTGAAAAAAACCCCAAGAATTTCTTAGCAAAATAGCCTGAGTTTTCTATGGATAAAAATGGAGAAGGCAGAATTCTGGAA